GGAGGTCTCTGGGAACAAAGGGAAGAGAGAATTTTAAAGAAGAAATAACAGAAGAATTATGTTTGCAGTTAAATCTTGTAAAGTTAAAGGAAAATTGAAAAAAAAATAAGATTATACAATTGTATTGTGCAAAGTGGGAAAAAGCAGACTTTTGTAAGAAACTATTGTATTGGTGTTTGGAAGGGGTGTGAGAACAGTAGACTCAGAGATTGGTAGTTAACACCTCAGAATCACACAAGAAAAAAGTGTGGAACATTTGCAGGGAGGAAGGAACAGGAAAAAAAAAAAAAGAACATTTGGTACTCATACATTAAAACACATTTACAAACTTGTATCTTAGGAAAAGGAGAAATTGGGAAATTTCCAGCAAGGTTGGCCTGGTCAGAGACTCCATGTAAATAAAGTTCCACATCTTTTGTCTGCATAGCGACATGAGGGTGTCCAATAAATGCAATGAGGAGTGAGTCCTGCAGGAAAGGCCATCTTATTTTCAAAGCCACAAAGGTCCTGTGGGTGCTAGCCCCAAGAGGCCCCAGCTCTTGTCAATGGAACGGGATTTTATAGCACATTCTTACTAATTGAAGATATTTCTTTAAGATGTAATCTTTCTCATTTTTTAATGTTTTGCAATATTATTTTTTTTCTCCACAAGTTTTAGTTTCCTGGGAGTGACTAAGGAGCTAATTCCTGAAGGTGGGTAAATGGCTCTTGATCTGCACTTTCCTTTTAACTGAAAGGCTCTCAGAGGAAAGTACCTAAAATTAAGCCTTCTTTGTTAATGTTCCCCAAACACAATTCACTATTTAAAAAAAAATCAAGATATGCCAGATACATTTAGGTTCTAGCCAAAAAATTCTGGTCTATGAAGCACCAGTTCCTACCAAAGGTGGCCTCATCTTTAAAGGATTTAATAACAATTTTGGAAACAGTTACATTGGAGCACTGCTGTAGTGTCTGCATAGTTTGGGGGTACATTCTGGATATAGGGGGTCAGAACCGGTGCTTTATTATAGTGTATTGTGATAGTGGTTTCTCCTCATCCATATTATTGTTCAATTCAGTGTTCTTTAAAGACATATTGCATGAACAATGACTAGAGCTAACATGTATTGACAAATTAATATGTGCCTGTCAATGGCCTAAGTGATAAATTTTTTGATATAAAGTAAAAGCATGCTTCTTTACTGTTGATGCAAGAATGCTCTCAAAGGTAGGGATAATGAAAAAGTTTGAGTATCTAAGAAGGGTTACTTCTGTGTTTAGAACCAATGAATGTGGCCAGCGCCACGGCTCAATAGGCTAATCCTCCGCCTTGCGGTGCCGGCACACCAGGTTCTAGTCCAGGTCAGGGCGCCGGATTCTGTCCCGGTTGCCCCTCTTCCAGGCCAGTTCTCTTCTGTGGCCAGGGAGTGCAGTGGAGGATGGTCCAAGTGCTTGGGCCCTGCATCCACATGGGAGACCAGGAGAAGTACCTGGTTCCCAGCTTCGGATCAGCGCGGAAGGAAGACCTTTCTCTCTGTCTCTCTCTCTCTCTCACTGTCCACTCTGCCTGTCAAACAAACAAACAAACAAACAAAAAAAAATGAATGAGAGAACTTCAGTATTAATTTTCCTAAATACAGGGATTTTACACAACGTATACAAGCTTATTGCCCTACCCTTTTGAAACCTGTTATATAAGATTGCTGTAATACTTCATGAAAAATTGTTTTTTTTTAAATACATTGCACAAGTTAGTTTCTTTTATTTCATGTAGGGTTAGTGGAAATCACTGAAAGATATGCAGCTGGTGGACAGATACACTGGTCTGGAGGATTCAATAAAAACTAGTAGAATCCAGCAGGGGATGCTGGAAGACAGCTGAGACCAGCAGCCAGAGGCCACATGCTGTGGCCTTTCCAATATGGCAGTTTTGAGGTAGTTGAACTTCTTGCATGGCAGTTCAGGAATATCAGAATTTAAGGCTTCACCCTAGAAGGCAACATGTTTCATATTCTAATTTTAAGCAAGTCACGAGGCCACCCCTGATTCAAGTGTGGGTACTAAGACTCCACTTCTTAAAAGGAAAACAAATTATATGTGGTCAATTTTAATCTACACACCCTTAGAGCAACTGCTGACGCACCTGCGGCACAGCAAGTGTCCCTAAAGTTTCTACAATAGGAGTCCTGGAATGCTTGCGGCCAGATGGACAGCATTTACTTCTGCAACGTGTTTGGTCCTCTGCCAGTGGAAGATGAATCAAATTCTCAGCTTTCAGCAGTTGGATTTATGTGTCCTGCTGTTGCCCCATATTTTCTTCACTAAACTATTGACCAAAATGTCTTTTTGTGTGGCTTGGGTTTGTTACTCGTTTTAGAGCTCTACCCAGTCATGAGACCACAAAAGGTCAGAGCTAAAAGAGATTCAAGGGCTAAAATGTGATCTCATTTTACAGATGAGGAAATTTAGCTCTGAAGTAGTTATGCGCCCTGTTGAAGGTCAGAAACTGATGAGTGACAGAGCACACCCTGACTCTCCTATTGCGGTCCTGACTTACCTGGAGAGTGGGCATCTTGTTCACCTAACTGTTCCTTAGAAACAGCCCATCTGCCTTGATTCAGTCTATTGCATCATGAAGCATTTAACAATAAACTAGAGATTTCCATCACAACAGTTTAACCTTATATATTGTATCAGTCAGTTTTTCCTCATTATACCAAAACACCTATAAACAGCCACTTTTGCAGTAAGGAGACTTACTCAGTCATGGTTTTGTAAATTCTCAGTCCAAGATCAAGCAGTCCCCAACTGTCTGATAAGGCCAGAAGATTGTGATTGCAAAATGAGGAGTGTTGGAAATAATCAAGCTTGGTTAAAGTGTTCATATGAGGCTTATTCGGGGCAGAAAATGAGAGACAAGCCCAATGACTTTTAAGGAGTACTTGGAAGTGTTTCAACGTGGTCAGAATTTAGGCAGAAGTTACATGTTCCATGACAGTAAGTTTTCCTTTGCCATTTCACAGTGATCATATACTGATTTGGCCCAAAAGGTAGGCTTTAGGTAAGCAGGGGTGAATGTTTCATAGGCTGTAGATTAGTGTTTTCACAGCATGATTGGCTAATAGCATCTTTAGAAACAGAGTACGTTGAATAAAAAGGTTGCTGATTAGCTTTAAGAAGGACATTTCTGGGAATACAGGCAAAAAGGAATGTATAAAGAATATAGGATTGAGGCCAGCACAGTGGTGTCATGGGCAAAGCTGCCACCTGCAGCGCCAGCATCCCATATGGGCACCAGGAGTGAGCCAGAGGATGGAAAATCTCTCTCTGCCTCTCCATGATTATGCCTTTTAAATAAATCTTTTTTTAAAAAATCACATAATGTTGATCTAGATAACTAAGAAGAAAACACTCTGCTGCATGCCAAGAAGTCAAATTGATCTGGTTAACAAGATTTGCAGGCCTCTACCTGATACTTCTCTGATGGGTCTCAGTTGATGTTTCCTTCCAGTGCTTTGCAGACTGTTCTCAGCAGAGAATCACTGAGGGAGCCAGGAAGCAGAGAGAGACAAGGAGGTTAGGCTCAACTCCCTTAAAAACCAGCCCTCTCAGAACTCCCTTCTAAGTGCACACGCCCAGTGACCTAAGATTTCCACTAGGACTACCTCCTAGATACCACAACTGGATTGTTTCCAGTCTCAGTGCCATCAATTTATAACTTTAAGATTTAACGTCCACATGAGGTCAGGAGTCAAACTGTGTTCAAACTATAGCACACAGCTAACCCATCTTCTCCGTCCATATTCAACATTTACTGAGTACCTACCAAATGAGAAGCACGGTTCCAGGCACACTGGTCTATGTTCCTGAAGAAATCCAGAGACATATACAAGAAGTTTTTCTTCTAGTTAGAAAGTCAGAATGCAAATTTTCCAACAGTCACTGTTCTCTAGATCACTTATTTGATCATTCTGATTTATCTTTAGTTATATAACACGGTTCCTCTGCCTCCTTTCATCCATGACCAAGGGACCAAAGATTCTTCTCTTGGAAACAGCACATCTGTTCTAAGGATTGTGAGATTTTTTTTTTTCTTTTCCTACTCAGAGCAGGGATTTGAAGTGGGTGTTAGTAAAACTCTCCATGGATCAATGGTGGTCTAGTCTGCTCATTAGACGAGGTGACAGCTTTGACTTCTCTAGACCACAGGGACTCTAGGTGGCAGCCCTCAGTACAGCCCTGTTAGCTTGGATTTCCTGTTTGCGTGGTGCCCGGTCACCATTAGCTTTTGTCTTGCGTTGCTTGCAGCGAATTCATCTTCCTCCCGATCCAGCCTGGAGAGGGGGCTGTTAGGGACGCCTCCTTCACCCTCAGGTCCACGCCTGTCCCGGCTCCCGGAGCTGGGTGGGATCACTCTTCCCGCACTGCCGGGAGCAGCCCGAGGACGGCGGCCCCCGCCCGGCTGGGGAGGGGGAGAAGCAGGCCCCCCACCACTCCGGGCGACACCCAAGGCCGACCGAAGGCTGGCCTTCCAAGAGGCAAGGTGGAAGTGCGGCGCGTCCCACGGGCCGGGGTGACAGTCCGCTTCCCGACACTCCGCACGCTCCCGCCCGAGGGGAGGAGAAGGAACCAGATGGGCGGGCTCGAGCGTGTGCGGCGGCGGGGCCGGGGCCGCCGGCTCCTCCCCGCCAGTGAGCCTGTCTGCCGCTCACCGCGCTGAGGCAGTGCGGTCGGGCGCAACGAGGCTGCCTTACAGCGCCCCTCCTCCCAGCCATGCTCGGGTCCAATAGGCGACCTGCCGAAGCCCGAGTAAAACAAGTCCCTCTCTCTCTCCACTCTCTATCCCTTAGACCAGCTTGCCGCTGCTTCCTATAGCGCAAACTGAGGGGAGGAGGGAACTCTATCTACGAACCTGATCGATATTAGAAGAACTTG